TCCATCCTCCATCTCTGCTCTAGCTACGCCTGGACTGGATGGGATTCTTCTGCAGCTGTCAATTGCTAATTAGCATACCACCAATACGCAGCCCTTATTGGTCAGAGTTCTTCCCGCTTAATTAATATTCATGAGCTAACTCCGCCCCTCCCCCCTCTCTGAATGTCGGCTGGTTAGGGTTTGGTGGTTGTATGATTTGACAGCTTAAAAATGCAAAACTGTCCAGAGCAGAAATTTGGGAGTCATTTGATAAATTCAGGCGCACTTCAAAACCCACTTTTTTTCCTCACAGAAGGTCTGGAAAAGTTCATGATATTCATTAGGTCTGTTAGAGGGAAATACAGTTTTATGCTTTCCTCTACATCAAAAGTTTTTACTGATGTAGTAATAAAGCTGTAATTGTGAATCTGGATAGTGTGACAAGGTCTGATTGTATTTAATGCAGTATTGAAGAAAACAATCACACAGATTCAATTCATTTCTTTCTGTTGAGAAGCCACTCACTAACACATTTAAATGAAACATATTTTGTGAGTCCCATCCAGACTTTACACTTTACTACCAACAGCTTTACACCCAGTGTTCCAGTGATAGGCTCTGGATTCACCCTGATCCTGACCAGGAAGAAGTCTTTACTAAAGATGAGTGAGATGAATGAACATTTCTGCAATTTCAAAATAATCATATTTCTATAATTCTGTTATAATAATATCAGATTAAATTTCTTAACTATTTTGCAGTTTAGTATTCACTCACACACTTACATGATACAAATGAATTTTTTGCTTGTCATATCCAGGATGCATCCCTGTCTCGCACTGAGTGTTCCCGGGATAGGCTCTGGATTCACCACAACCCTGATCAGGATAAAGCACTTACTGAAGATAAATGAACATTATTCATGTCTCTCACATTTAAGAATTTTACTTCAGAACCTATCATGTATTTCTAAGAGTAGGCCAGCACTGCAAGAGGGTGTTCTGTCACAGTGGGTTATTGCTGCATGCTTGGAGGTTTGGACAGACCTGGACTGTAAAAACAGTCCATGACACACAGCTGTCTTTAACAGTAATTGGATTTCTAAGCAGATAAGTACCAAACATAATAAAATGTAAGTGAAAGGTAATTATTTACAATTTCTGGATTCCTCAGCAGTAACTGAAGTGGTCTACTGCCCCAGGGTGAAAGCTTTAAGCTGTATTATTTTTAAATTATCACTCTGCCTAAAACACAAACTGTTCAATTATAAAATTCAGACATTTCAATGTGCAGTTCCTCAAATGTACTGTCAAAGATAGTATGACATTTGAAGCTGTACATACTGGTCATTTCATGTTTCCTGTAATAATGCAAGAGCGCCCCCAAGAGGGGGAGGGAACAAATGTTGTGTGACTACTAACTACGTAACCAACATGGACACAAAAGTTTAAATGTTGCAGATTCAAAACAATTCGCATCAATGAGACTGTGTGTGATAGTTGGTAAGTGCATTTATTGTTTTCCCTGTTACATCCTTATTGATTAACACCGCATTACAGAACTTAGCATGGTGATATTGACAAACACCACAACTCTCTGGCTACTGCTGAAATGAATGACGTGGAGATCAGGATTGGGGCGCTTAGCCTGGAGGCCAGCCCAGCTGACGGCCACCCAGAACATGAAGGTGGACATGGTAGACAGACTGACCCCCATGAGGGCCTTCATTCACCACCATTCGGTAGCCATTGGGCAATCCCACCTGCTCAGCACACTTCTTGCCAACAAGCATCAAATGTCCAAGAAGCTAGAGAGAGAGAGAGAGAGAGAGAGAGAGAGAGAGAGAGAGAGAGAGAGAGAGAGAGACTTGGATTACCTCATAGAAGCACATGACACTGGGCTTTATAAACTTGTTTTGGAATAATAATGCATGAAATACACTGTTGAATGGAATTCTACCTACAGAGTGACAGTTATTTAATTAATAAATAATTTATATAAATATTGTCTAAGTAAACAAACTAGTAAAATTAATAATTTTATTTAACCTACAGTATAATGAAAGTGTTTTTATTTAACCTATTTATAATGAAAGTAAAAACTGGAAGAAAAAACTGGATATTGCCCCAGCAAATAAACTTACATTAGCAAGTTTTAGTTTGAGAAGCCAGTGCAGTCTTACTATAAAAAGAGAAATACACTATAACTGCAAATTTCACTTCAGTTTAATTAAGTTGGTTCCTTTCTTTTGCTGTTGTTGCATGCTTCCAGAATTAAAGTCTACACACTAAGCTGCTGAGAAGCGAAATCTTACTTTGGGTTGTAATTTCATCCCATCAACAGGGTGCAGATGTGACTAAGATGCATGTCTGAGTGTGCTAGACAGAAAAATAAAATCTGAGTAGATATTTGAGTTGCTGCAGCTGTGGTATGGCAATTAAACAGGCTTAATTGGACAACTCGCACTATTACAGTGTTGGGAAACAGCCAGATGGCAGGACAGATGAACTAATCCACAAGTCCCTGCACTGCTCAAAGGTATTTGTTAAATGTGATGTGACGCCAACAAGTCAGAAGTGTCAACATATCCCATAATAATCAGGTCAGCATATATCTAGTCCCAGAAGAGTCAATGTTTCCACTGGAAATCCAAGCTGTGTCTTAGTTCCCAGTCCCATGTGTCTCTAGTTGTTTACCCGAGGATTACAAGGACTCTGTTGGTGAGCTAACTGCTGTGAAAGATTATAAAATTCAGCACATACATGCAACCGTCTCAGAATATGTATAACAGGATCCACTTACTGCTGCATCGCTGTCCTCAGCTTTCGAGATCTGGGGAATGGGTTTTCTGGGGACTACTAAAAAATGAGTAGGAGCCTGCGGAGCCACGTCATGGAAGGCTATGCACTTGAAAACAGAGAGAACAGAACAGTGTAATGAATGCACAGAATATTAAAACATTTGCAGCAGCATTTCACTGAGCACTTCTCTCGAGTTTTCGAATCAATATTCAGTCGATTAGATCAGACTTGATCATGTTTGTACAGAATTCACAGGAAGTGTTGTGTCAGGAAGGACTTGGATTTGAGTGTCACAGATAATTTGTGTGCCTTAATGCAAAGCGTCTTTGCTACTTTACATCCCCCCCCCCCCAAGTGAACAGTTGAGGTCAAAAGTTTACATCCCCCTTTCAGAATCTGCAAAATGTTAATTATTTTATTTTTTATTAATTATTTATTTATGTTATATCTGTTATATCTGCATAATTTATTTATTATTTTATTAATTATTTTACCAAAATAAGAGGGATCATACAAAATGCATGTTATTGTTTATTTAGTGCTGACCTGAATAAGATATTTCACATAAAAGATGTTTACATATAGTCCACAAGAGAAAATAATAGTTGAATTTATAAAAATGACCCCGTTCAAAAGTTTACATCCACTTGATTCGTAATACTGTGTTGTTACCTGAATGATCCACAGCTGTGTTTTTTTGTTTACTGATAGTTGTTCATGAGTCCCTTGTTTGTCCTGAACAGTTAAACTGCCTGCTGTTCTTCAGAAAAATCCTTCAGGTCCCACAAATTCTTTGGTTTTCCAGCATTTTTGTGTATTTGAACCCTTTCCAACAATGACTGTATGATTTTGAG